ACCCATTTCTAAAATGAAAAACCAATGACCAAAAGATACACTGACCCTAAACCTAGCAGAATAAATAAGAAGCAACATACTTATTTTCTTTAAAATATATATATATATTGATCATTTTACTCAACTTGGTTTAGTGGAACTACTTTGGTTCAGTAAATTCAGCAGTTTATTTCTGAGAGAGTGTGTAAAAGTACTTTTRCTTTCCTGATTTTTGTGAACAGATTTTTACTTAAGTACTTTTCTCATCAGTGAAATAAATTTTTACCAAAGTCATTTTCTGTGAAATTATTTTTACTTTTACTTAGTTATATATTTTCAGGTAGTTTATAGACCTCTGGCCTTWGGTGGCCATCTTGATTTGGGTTGACTTAAAAAATGTATCAGTCGTAGATTTACATCCAATTCTTACATTTTGAAAGTTTAAGTAAAGTTTGTCTATGGGTTCTTGAGATAGTTTGCCAACGCTACAGACAAACATACGTACAGTCAAGAATATTACTGCCTTTCTACAGTGGGAGATGATTAAAGAGCATTGAGTGGCATATTTTTGGCAGGCTAATGTTATTATAAATGTCGTGTGTACAGCCACACAGAGGTGACTTCTCACATGACCATGTTTTTTCTCTTGTCTGTCATCYAGCTCACAGGTGTACTGATTGGAGCTGCATTTGCAATCATACTGATTGGGATTGTGGTGTTCTTCCTCTACAGAAAATTCAAACTCGCTCGTGAGTCATTCTGTGCTTCATATTTATTAGATTTTATTTTTCTTTTATTCCTCCGYCTGACCGGACTGCACCTGCACTTTCTGTTTTGATTTTCTGACCAGGTGAACAGCAGCCTGGTGTGCCTCGGTATCGCTTCAGAAAACGAGATAAAGTGCTCTTCTATGGAAGGAAGATAATGCGAAAGGTTTTTTTGCTACTTTCAATTCTGTTAGCATGAAAACAGATTTTTAATCTAGTGGATTTGCAGCCACTCATCGCAAACCATGAATCAAACAGGAATACTTTTTTCACTCGCTTCGGCTCTTTCTGTAGGTTACACGTTTTTAATTTAAGCACACATTAACCATCATTTTGAGAAAAAAAAGGGCTGAGTTTTTCATTTTTTTATTTTTTAACCATTTCTTATGACATAATGAGAACCTTTTAAAATGAACTGTGCTGTACATATTTCTACATTTCTCACCAAGCAAAATTTTGTCTTGTAACTTTGATTATTACAATTGTTGTATGACACAAGTTGAAGTATCTACGTTGCAAATAGTGACAATGAATCATTTTACTACGCTCTCCAGCAACGTGGTCTACGCCTCAAAGAATAACAAACGTATTTGTGTTTTCAAAGGTCCAGACACTTTCCTCGACTTCCCCTTCCTCCTCCAGCTCGGTATCAAAGCAGCCGCAGCGCATACGCAAAAGGACCAAAGTTTTAAGCATTGCTCGCAAGTATGCACCATTTCTATGGTTTTAGCTTTGTTAAAAATCTGCTTTGATTTATTTCCCCCCCTTTTTTGTCATCGTCTTCTAATGCCATTCTTTTGTTCCAACAGAATTCTGAGGATTCGCAAAGACCCTCCCGCCCTGCAGCATAAGGAACCCCCTCCATCGCTGCTGGAGGCAGACCTGACAGAGTTCGACGTGCAGAGCTCCAACCTYCCATCAGAGGTTCTCTATATGCTGAAAAATGTCAGGTGAGCAAAAACACAACGTTCCCCTCGTCTTCGTTTGTCTGTCACATGTTTTAAAAAGTTTCTGTTCTTCGACTTGTAGGGTCTTGGGTCATTTTGATAAGCCTCTGTTTCTGGAGCTTTGTCGCCACATGGTGTTTGTGGAGCTGCAGGAGGGAGAAGTAATGTTCAGGCCAGGAGATGATGATGACAGCATATATGTGGTGCAGGATGGTCGACTCGAACTCTGCATTCAAGATAATGTAGGCCACAGTTACTTCTTTTAGTTCAAACTTGCAGCTGGTTTTAGGTTGTTTTTTTCTTTCTCTTGGTAACTTTTTCTCTGTAATRGTGTGAAACACTGAACACAATTCTGTGCTAGATCATCATTAACAGTGATTCTACTGTGTAATAATACACATTTAATGTTATTTAGTAGAATGTGAAGCAAAAAATGAGCACAATAAGCTCTTTCTTTCAGTAATTTGTGCAGAAATCTGAACAGCAGAGGGCATAGAGACTCTGCCTTTTGTTATGAATGTCTTTTTGTTTGACCTATGCAGATATATTTACTGTGTATCAGTGGGTAATTAATTTGTTTCGTGATTTATTTTTTCCCATGGATTTATTGGCAAAGGATGGCACAGAAGCGGTGGTAAAGGATGTCCTTCCAGGAGACAGTGTCCACAGCCTGCTCAGTATTCTGGACATCATCACCGTGAGCTGCTATTTATTCTCTCGATGCACATCAGACTAGATTCTGTCCTCATTTGTGCTCTGATTCGTTTCCTTTCAGTTAGTCTACCCATCATTTACCTGTGAGTYAGCTATTATTTTACAGATTAAAGTGCTTTCAGAGAAACCTTGCTCACTCAAAACTTCATAATTTTGGTTTGTCTTTCATAATAAAAAATTAAAAGGGAAAATCTTGACTGTATAATATCAGAATGCACACAACACAGGGCTGTCCTTTGTCTCATATCCTGTCTGTAGTGTTTATAGACAGGATGGAAGTCATTGTTGTGGAGAGGAGGGTGTCTGGTTTGGAAACAACAGGGTCTCGTCTCTGTTTTATGTGAATGATTTGGCTCTGTTGATCGTGCACTGGGTGGTTGGCAGAGGAGTGTGAATGATGTAAGGAGTTTAAGTATCTATTAAGTATTTACTGGTCTGTCTTCTTTCCAACCCTCACCTATGGTCATGAGGTGTGTGTATCATGAATGAGTGACCGAAATGAGCTTCCTACGTAGGGTGGCTGGGCTCAGCCTTAGAGATGAGGTGAGGGAGCTTCATCATCCGAGCGGAGCTCGGAGTAGAACCGCTGCTCCTCCCCATCGAAAGGAGTCATTTGAGGTGGTTCGAGCATCTGATTAGGACTCACTGAAGGGATTATGTATCCTCTCTGGCCTGGAAATGCCTTGGGTATCCCAAGAGATGCTAGGGAGAGGGAGGTCTGGGTTTCTCTCCTGGACCTGTTGCCTCTTAGCAGAAGATGGAGACATAATACAGCGAACAAAAAATACAGAGTCCTTGAAGGCCTGTTGCCTTGTGTGACAAACTTTTAAAGAAATTTCTCACATTATTTGTCATCACTGAGTTTGTGATGGAAGTAACTCTCAGCTACTTCCACACAAAATGTGAACTCACTGTACGTAAAATTGATTTGAGTTATTGCTGTGGTGGGCACCTTCAAACACATCGAATCCAAAAGTTAATAAGATGTAAATGTACACCCAATGATTATTTTTCAATGATATACATCCAGTAGTTCATAACATATTTTGCTAACAAAGAAAAAAATGCACCTGTCCAGATGTAAAAATAAAACAAAAACATTATTTCTGCCTTTCTTAATGGCGAGAAAAATAATTAACTTACAAAAACTTAAGGGTACTCACTTTAAAGACTATATTCATGTGGATGTTACACTTTTTAAAGACACTCTAAAGCTATCTCCTGGTATTTGTACTGTAAATATTTGTACTGTTTTAAAGTACCAGGTGTATACACATAATAAACTGAGAGGTGCATCACTGTCTTAGACCACACCAATATGGGTCAGGTTTTTATACCGCCATGCTTTCTGTTTTTAACATGCATTTGTTCTGCTTTTATTCCAGGGATACCCAGCTCCTTATAAGACCGTATCAACACGGGCTGCTACTCGCTCCACCATCTTACGCTTACCTGCATCAGCCTTTGAGTCAGTTTTTAAGAAATACCCTGAGACACTTGTGCGCGTCATCCAGGTAACACACTGTCCAGCAGTAGATATGAAAGTGTAAATAAATAAAAGTCAGATTTTATCAAATGTAGATGCAGTTGAAGAGAAATATGCAATATTATCTGTTTGTCTGGTGTTGCAGATAATCATGGTGCGACTCCAGAGAGTGACCTTTTTGGCGTTGCATAACTATCTGGGCTTAACGACCGAACTCTTCAATCCGGTAGGAGGGAAATTAATTGGCTCTCACATATTTGTGTGCTTACACAGAGTCAAACCAAGGAGCTAATGCAGGATACCCAAGCTTGGCTTTTGATCAAATTACACATAGCAAAGGACGCCTCGTGCACGTTTGAACAGACACGTGCAAGCCAATTTCACACATCATTAAACGCACGCAGCATCATAACATGGTCATTCCTGTAGCTCAGTGAAATAAACTGATTAAAACCTTTCAGACAACAGAAACCTTTAAAACACTGACTTTTATTATCAATATTGTGGAAATGCTCATTCAGCTTTCATACGTTTGTTTTCCTGTTTTTGTACATTTTTAACTCTTTCTGTATACTTTGTGCTATTTTAGGCATTAWTATCAAAAGCAAGTACACTTTGTTTATATAGTACCTTTCACAGACTGAGATCACAAAGTGCTTCACAAGGAGCAAAAAAATAAACATACAATAGAACAGACAGTTCTGCGAAATGGCTGCACAGACSGGTCCAGCTTTAAGCTCCCTCGGGTCGTTCATAAATGACCAGCCCAGTTCCCGCTCACATGTATGAGTTCAGAAATGAAGCCGGCAGTGCGGAACCAAACGAGGCGTGGAGCAGAACTCGGCTCGGCTGAAGTGGACCACAACGCATTTATTTTGTGACGAACGTCCGCCTAACATCAAACACAAAACAAACTGAATAAACTTACTTTAATGATCCTGTGGTTAAATATTTTTTAAATAACCACAAAGTTGCTGTTCATCTTTAATCTTTATCGGTAATAAATCTGTTTGTTGATTAATCCTGCAGTCACTCACGGCTCTGTCACACTAGACAACTGATGCCAACTTATGAAACATTTTCTGTCTAAATTGCTAATAAAAGTTATATATTTGATCAATTTGTTAGAATTATATTATGTACATGCCGAAGAGAAGCTTCCTGTTGATTTATTTTCAATTTTATCTTCAACATAGACCTCTTTAAAATGTTCATAAGTTGGCATAAGTTGTGTAGTGTGACAGGGCCTTCACAAATGCCATCAGTTCATTATTATTATTTTTTGAGCCGCAGCTCCACAGTTTTTTATTTTTTCCTTTTGTGGCTCAGAGGGGAGTCAGAGGCAGGCTCTCTTCTACCCATCTTGCCACCTTCATGTTTTTTCTGACTGATCAGAGAAGGACAGGACTCGTGTCAGCCCCGGACTCAGCTGTCTTGTGAATGAGGCTAATGTCAAAGCATACAATAAACAAGATAATGCAGTAATAAACATAAGCTTTTAGCTCAATGTTTTACTTAAAGTGTCTTAAGCTGCTTTAAAGAAGCCAACAGAGTCAGCYACACAAACACAGGGGCAGACCACAATCAACAGACTCTAGCTTGGAAGGACAGGTCTCCTTGAGTTCAGCCTAAGGAACCTTTGGGATATTTTGGCCTAAAAACTCAAGATTATGGCTAGAACCAAGAAATGAACGGAAGCTGAAAAAAATTCATATCTGATATTTGAAGATAATCTATTTTTGTGAGCCCTCTACAGAACTTGTTAGATATTATAATCAACTAATCATAAAACTTCAATCATTTCAACTGATTAAATAGTATATTTGTTGGATATTTGTCTTTTGAAGCCAATTTTAGTTTTTAGCTACTGTTTTGCTGCCTTTTGCTTTAGCCACACTTAACTTTTAGCTACACTTTTACTTGTGTTTTGCTATTTTTAAATTTTAGCTAACAAACTTGTTACTTTTGGCTTTTTGGTAATGTTTTGCTCCTTTTTATCTTTTTAGCTTGTGTTCTTATAGCTTTTAGCTTGTGTTTTTGCAGTAACAGTAAGTTTTTGTAAGTGTTTAAGAAAGCACAAAACCTGCTGTTAAGCCTTCAGCTGTTTTATGATCTGCATTAAAGAAATCTTGTGCCGACTAGTTATTATGAACCTCAGATCAAACATCCTTTAACCTCATCGATTTAAAGACTAGACCGTAACTAAAATGCAAATAATTAAATTTTAATCATCTCTTCATTCACAGGAGAGTCAGGCTGTGCCTTTGTCTAACATAAACTCTGTGATGGCCGAGGCAAATTCTGGAAAGATGACACGTCGTCTCTACTTCCTGGATGAGTTACCTGCAGGGACCACTGAGAGCACTTCAGAACCAGGTCTAACAATTGTGAACAAACATTTAAAATTGACCTTTTTTTTTGGACGCTGATTCATCAACACTTTGCTTTTCGCAGATAATGTAAAGGAAAGTCCCTCAAACAGCTGCAGGAGAGTACGATCCATCTCCATGCCCACAGACTGTGCTGGTGGGTTTCTGTTGGGGTCTAATCCAATAAAATAATGGCTTTTGTCTTTAAAACTTAACCAAAATATCCTGGTCAAAGAGCACTAACACTTGCAGACTTGTGATCTTTATTTTTGTCCTGTGTGGCAGGAAATGACCTGAACATGGCGTGTGAAAGAGCGCGAGTGACTATAGATGAAGCTCCACCGAGTCCAGTCACTCAGAAAGTACGTTTTTCTTTCTGTGGGAGTTCTCCGTGGACTTTAATCCAACATCTGCTTCACTTTATGCTGCTTGTCTGCTCCAAATCAAAGTCTTTCTCTTGTCTGTCTCTGTAGTCCAGTTTAAAGAAAAATGTGACCATGCAGCACACATCAGCTGAAGCGCTTCAGTGTGCAGACAGTGGAGGGCCGTCTGATGCTATCCACCTCAATAAAAGCAACGCGATCCTCCAGGCTGCTAAGAAAGACCTGCAGGAAATCATCCAGCTGCAGGTAAGGATGTCATYAACTTTATGTTCACTTTCTTTAAAAATCTTTGTTTTAATGGCTTGTTGAATGAGAAACTTTACGTTGTTTATTCTGCAGGACCCTAGTCTACTTGAAGGCAGAGTGACTCTTCATCATGTCAAAGCTGGCTCTGTTGTAGCTCGTCAGGGAGATCAGGTTAGAGCAATAAATTACAATCATAGCAACTTTATTTCTTAGTTTTAATACTTTAGTGTGAAAGGTTCTTACATGTTTGTCATCTTTATTCACATGATTTGTAATTGTTTTAGCCTATTTAGTCTCCTTTCAATGAGAAATCCTTTTGTAGAGTTTTTAAACTTYAGCTGAAATAACTTATTGCCTTGTACTCTAGTAGAAACTTGTGCTTTAAAGCTTTTATAAGACTGGTGTTGATTCTGAATAAAAGACAAGTTACATCAGGCAACTGATTTTTAGCAAGCAAACCTTTCAGTCAGACATTTTATTRTTGTTTTCACTTGTTTAACTTTGTCAAAAAAAAAAACTTAAAGGGAACCCCGACTAGTTGTAACTTTAGACTTTATTTGATAAACATTTACTTCAACTGTAAAACAAAGACTAAAAATACTGTAGTTTTTATAAAAAAATTGTCGTTTTCTCTTTGTTTTTCCCTATTTTTCTATTTTTTCTTTACTTTAAAAAAAATCACTTATGAAGAATTAAGAAACTAATATTAAGTTCTTTTTTCTACTGAAGTGATTAAAATATTGTCACAAGGACTGCGCTAATGCTAAATCACCATATAAGCTCGGGCACTAGCGCGAAAGCTAACAGATTCAGCTAACATGAAGCAGTTCTGTTGTCATCCAYCCACAGTCATGTCTAAATTCTCCTGTCTGTCAAGTCGCTCTGGTTTCATTTAAAAGGGTTGATCGTCATTAACCTTCAAGGTGGTTAGAGCTCGATGCTTTGCCCTGGAGGGAAAAAAAAAGCCTCAGACCGGTAAACATCACAATTTACCCAGTATGCTTTGTGGCGTGAATAATATGGCGCCTTCCATGTGACACTATATCTTTTAAAATATCTAAAAACTAAATGGCCTACAGTATTTTTGCAGTCTTTGTTTGACAGTTGAATTAAATGTTTACCAAAAAAATGTCTAATTTTATAACSAGTCCGGGTTCCTCGTAAAATACTGAATTTAGGACATGAATAAAACACAAACTCTAAAATGTTTTTTGTATCGCATTGCAGTACAGCCATCATCAAACTGTCACTTTTTGTGCTACAAATTTAATTTGTCCTGTCTTTGTGTTTTTAGGAGGTGAGCATCCATTTTGTGATTTCAGGCCTCCTACACGTTTACCAGCGGATGATTGACCGTGAAGAAGATACGCGTCTGTTTGTGACGCACCCCGGGGAGCTCGTCGGTCAGCTTGCAGTCTTGACCGGCGAGCCCCTCACGTTTACTGTGCGAGCCCAGCGAGACTGCAGCTTCCTCTCCATTTCTAAAACGCACTTCTACGAGTGAGTCATAAGAACACAATCAGTGAACAGCATACGTAGCGTTGTGTTTTAAATTGAATGTTTTAAACTCAACACTTGGTTACTTATTACGTCTAATTTAAATTATTTTTTACTCCTCAGGATAATGCGAGCAGAACCAAAAGTGGTCCTGAATGTTGCGCACACAGTGTGCAGGAGGATGTCGTATTTTATCAGACAGATAGACTTTGCGCTTGATTGGATGGCTGTGGAAGCTGGCAGGGCTGTTTACAGGTATTCTGCTCTAAACGTTTGTTTGTTGTGCACACAACTGAGCGCAGACTGTATGCATATAGAACACAACAATGTCAAAAAGGCCAAATTTAACCAAAGCTAAATGAAAGTTTCTTCTATAAATATTTAGGCAGGGTGAGAAATCCGACAGTACTTTCATAGTGCTGAGTGGTCGACTGCGCTCTGTGATCTTGAAGGAGGACGGCAAAAAGGAGATGATTGGAGAGTATGGACGTGGTGACCTGATTGGAGTGGTAAGAACCTTGGCAGAAAAGAACGACTATCATGTGGAAAATATTACTTTCTATCTAGAAAAACAGTGTTTTTCTATGTAAATAAAGTCTGCTAAATTARAAATCGGCAACAAAACATTCATTAGTATTCCTTTATTCGATTTTTATAGGAAAACCTTGCAATTTTTTWAATTACGACCTTGATGTTCAAACAGATAAACTTTATTGTTTTTTGCAAATATTCACTCATTGAATCTGATGCCTGAAACTTGTTCCAAAAAAAGCAGAGAGAGAGGGTCATGTTTACCACWGTTACATCACCTTTCTTTTTAACAACACTCTTTTAAGTGTTTACTTGTGTAAGGGTTTATTCTTACACTTCTTATAACAAGGTTATAAGAGTAATTTAATTAGCAAGGATCTCTTTTATTTTGGATAAACATTTCTTTAGTGCAAAAATGAATGGACACAAAAGTAACTCTGTCAGTGATTGTTGATTTGAACCATAATATGCGATCATTTATTTTACAAATCATACAGAATTGACTATAGAGTACACCTGATTGTGAACAATTAATTTCCTATAAAAAGTTTTGGGACCAGCAATAACAAGCTTTTAACTTCTTAATTGTTAACCACACTTAAATAGAAACACAAACGTCAGATTAGATGTTAAACACCAGACATTTGAGGCTGTTTATCTTAGGAGTTGGCAAGGAAGAGGTTAAGAAAAAGGTTGAAGAAAGATGTTAGCTTTTCTACACTTTATCTTAAATAATGTGGGTTTTAACCAGAAGGGCGAAGCGTTCTGTGCTCAGCTTTGGTCAGACCTCGACGTCACACACAGCCAGCTTTTACCTTGAGATGATGTTCTGTCACCTGCCAGCTAGGTGTGGGTGCTGCTGGCGAATCTGTCTTTAGACCGTCGAACAGGGGACCCCCGGCGTGCTCTTTGACTCGTTTGCGTCCACGTCAGCCGTAACCAGAAGACAAGGCCTCGACTGGAACCCAGGTTTTAAATAAAACTTCCGTCTGGAGAGTTTCTGAAGGTGGATAAACCAGGCGTGGTTTTCCACACTGTGAGGTTTCCCCGTTGGCGTGAAGGGGCCAAACCTGACAGTTTTCAGCTTTTGATTCCCCGGAGAGAATCTAGCTGTCACAGTGACTGACGGTGGTCAATCACCTTTACTCTCTGTCTTTTCTCAGTGTGCTAGACGGGCGGAAACTGTTAGTTCCTAAAAGCTTAGAGAATCTATGGTCCGCCCTCCAGAAGGTTAAATTAGAAAAATAAATTATCAAGGAAAGTGTTAGTTTCAGAACTCGCTGTGGCCTCCTGAAACAAAACAAAGATTATTTGCTGCTGCTGTGTGGTTCAGAACGACACATTTCATGACCTCTTTAAATTATCTGATGAGCACTTATTTAAAACATAACTGAAAGAAAAATGAATTGCTTCAAGTTCAAAACATTTAAAACATATGGTTCAGACAAGTAAAACATTGATATTTCATCAACTTAAACCATAAAGATTATTTTAGTCAAATAAGAATTTTTCCCACAGAAAAACCATACATAGCTGAAATCATACTGAGGGAGGAGAGAGATCTGTCCTCTCTTCTCCTGTAACTTTGATAAACATTCTCTGATTATCAAAATGCGTAATACTTTCAGTTAAGATAACACTAAATCAAATAAGAGAAGATTCTTCTGTTTTTATCTGATTTAGAAGGAAAGTGGCCTGGGGTGGCCTAAATACTGTTCAAAGTGGAACAGAGTTTTTGTCCATTCGAAGGCCCATCAGAGGACTGAGAGTCCAAGATAGTTCCTTGATAATTTGACTCGAGGTGATCCCTACACTTATCTAGAAAAACAGTTTTTTCTATGCAAATAAAAAGTCTAATTCATAAATCAGCAACAAAATCTTTATTAGTAGTCCTTTATCTGCTTTTCATAGAAAATACTTGCAATTTATTTAATTTTAWATACTGCCAAACATGCTCGTGAGCCTGAAGGCTTATAATCATGTTCCCTGAGGTTTTGTGGGGGTGCAGGGGTCATTTCCAAYGATCATCTGCTACCTGTATGACAAAAGCAAGAGCTGTGTCTATATTTATGACTCATRGTCAGAGTTGTAAAGTAGCAAGTAYAAATACTKTACTTAAGTAGAAATTTTGGTTATCTGTACTTTACCTGAGTAATTATTTTCCATCTACTTTTTACTTCTACTCCTTATACTGTATTTTTACACAATTATCTGAACTTTCTACTCCTTACAATTATTTAAAAGAATTGCAAAGAACTTGTCCAAAGGACCGACCCACCTTTTTTTCTTCTTTCTTTTTAAATGTGATTCAATGATTTTGTTGGTTGAACATGGGTAGTCTTTGTTTGGTTTAGGCAGACTTTCCGTTTATTTTGTGGTTGTGGTTTTACTAGACAGTAACCTTCAATTTCTGACCAAGTGAGAACTGGTGGTTTTGCAGGTGGAAGCTCTGACCCATCAGAACAGAGCCACCACTGTCCACGCTGTCAGAGATTCTGAGCTGGCCAAGCTACCAGAGGGGGCGCTCACCTCCATCAAAAGGAAGTTCCCACAGGTATAGCACAATTTTTCTTCACACAAACTGAATTTTAAAAAGTCAGTGCAGCCAGCAGAGGGCTGACGTCTGTTTAATGAAAGAACAGATACAAAGTTTCTGCTTCTCAGGTTGTCACTAGGCTGATCCATTTACTTGGTCAGAAGATTCTCCAGCAGGTCAACGTTCCTCTTTCAGGTGTGTACTTTGTCGGCAGCTGGCTCGTGCCGATGCTTCGGCATCGTTTGGTTGTTTTGATGTGTATGGTGTGAGTGAGAAGTTTACAACTCTGTGAAATGTGTCCAGCTCGTAGTTTGGCACTCCACACTCCAGGAAGCAAGTGGGATGCAGGGAATCAAGCCTCCAACCTGTCCACTGTGGCAGTTCTGCCTGTTTCTGAAGAGGTGCCTTTGACTGCCTTCACTCTGGAGCTGCAGCATGCACTCCAAGCTATAGGTAAGCAATGAAATGAAATGTACATATTCACATTTCAGTAACTCTGTTTCCATGTGTTAATCAAGCAAATTTGAAGCAAGTTTATAAAATGCTGCATTAATGCCGATATATGACTGCAATCAAAGTAGCTGGAAAAAGTCTTGACAAAAGTGAAAAACAAGACTCATTGTAATAACAAAATTATATACRATTTTTTGTCAGATAAATAGCTAATTTATTATCATTACAAAAACTATTGGCCATATTTCCTTACTTGAAGMAGAAAAAGCTGTCTGTTTATGTGATTAGATGTGTAGGTTTTATGGTTTTAAAAACTTGTGACCACTTTATTGCCTCGTGCTTGAACACAAACTTGTTTGAAGTTTTCCTGAATTCATAGCACTGAAACAGAAAAAATAATCAGATAAGATTCATAGTAATCTTGTGCCAAAAAGAAATACCTGCCACTAACTATAACTGTTCTACCCTACTTCAMTGAGACATTTTAGAACTTGATTTTTCCTTTTTTAACCCGATCATGAGCTTTTCAGGTCACGTCTTGTTCCTGCGCCTCCATGTGTTTCTGTACATACCAGGTCTTTCTAAGGCTTTGAGGAGTTAATTCTATATCAGAAACAAAGGAATGTCAGGTATTTTGGGAAGACGTTAACTAAGTGTGATCTGATCACTTGCAGGACCCACACTTCTGCTGACCAGTGACATTATCAAACAGAGACTTGGTGCTGCAGCACTAGACAGGTACGGTTTGTGAAATGCTGAAATTTACTGCARGATGTTAAAAACTGGAGAAAGTGCCACACGTTCCAGCTTCAGAGGATTTTTTCCCCCCCTTTAAATGTAATTTTATTGATCTCTTGTCAGTTTTTGCAACTTTAGAGGAAGAAATGATGATTAAAATTCTGATTTAATTAAGTTACTACATACTTTTAAGTTTTCATTATACAGCTAACCCAGGATCAGCTGTTTTCCATGGTCTTCCTGTTAACTTCTTTTGTTTTAAATGTACTTTTAAGCAAAAATGAAAAAAAAAAAAACATCGCCTGAGTGCTTGATTAATGGACTCTCGTCGTTTTTAGTGTTCATGAATACCGATTATCCAGCTGGCTGGGCCAACAAGAGGACATCCATCGCATAGTTCTTTACCAGACTGACTACACACTGACCCCGTGGACTCAGAGGTGCATCCGTCAGGCTGACTGCATCATAATTGTGGGAGTAGGGGAGCAGGACCCTGCTGTTGGGGAGGTGAGCTGGAAAGCGTGCAGTGAGAGGGAGGTGAAACTGAAAAAAAATGTTGTTTTTGTTTGATTGGGTTATTTATTTAATCATTTTATTGCACTGTTTAATTGCAGATTGTATTTTGCAACTAGAAATCTCAATTTTTTTTTGTTTTTGAACATTACCAATCAGACACAAGTTAGAGAAATTACATCAGCCAAATAATTTCCATGAAATAGTTGTCTTGTGATTTGGAGTAAAGTTGAAATGATCACACAAATTTTACCAGCTCAAAGTGTTCTTGGATGATTGTTTTTGTAAGTTCTTAGGTTCTTGGTCTTACCGTTTACTCGAATGATGATAAGAGGGAAAATCAAGTAATGCCAGGTTCACACAGCAAGATAATTATGCCGATTTTTGGCTAAAATATGCCCTTCCAACTGTCTTCAGGATGATCCGATTTATTGTGGTGGCTCTAAAGATAATCTTATGAGATATTCCTGCTATGTTGGAAGGATGTCAGGACCACTCCAATCTCAAATCGGGGATATTCAACATGTTTGATTGTCTTGGCCTGATTTGGCACAGATAGGTGACAGAAACACGGAGGAGAATCCAAAATACAGAAGCCAAAACAACTGCCATKTTGCACCAGAAAGTTTGTGGATGTCTGAAATATCTGTTTTAGTTTTTACTCTGTTAAAAATAGTTCATAAACTATCGCCATCACTTCTTMCTCGTCGTCTGTGTTTTAAGTTTTCTGAAAAGGAAATGCTTTCTGGTCAAAAAGGTTTTCAGTAACTGAGATAGAGAAACATCTAAGAATAAACATGGTCAACTTAAAGACAGATGGGATTCAGCAGCAGTGAATAGTGACRTATTTCAGTTCTGTTGTAAATGATTAAAACTCTAAAGCCACAGCTGGAGTAGACTCAACAGAACTGGATAGCTCGTGACTAAAAAAATACTTGGAAACCCCAAGACAAGTAGGTGGTGAGCTTTGAAAATTGGTAGCAACAGGTTAGCTGTGGTGGGTTTTTATCTTCTTTTTACGTCATTAATACAACTCAGTTTGTTTAGATGTTGGAATTTGTCAGAAACCATCTTTACATCAAAAGTTATGCGTTTGTACTGTTTTCAGACATATGTTCACATTCACCTGCTAAAACCTTTTCTCCTTAGTGGTAGTAAAATATTTGCCTGTAAGTAGACCAAATCAAATGGATTTTATTTTGAAGGCTGTGTTGGATCGTAGTTTTTGATGATCAGAAAGTTTTTTTTTCAATTCAATTCAGTTTATTCATTTCATTAAAACAAAACAAATAATTTTATATACAATGAAAAGAAAAATATAAAAAGAAGAATGAGAAAAAAGTGTGTGTGTGTGTGTGTGTGTGTGTGTATGTGTGTGCATTAAAAAAGCAAACACAGAGTCCCACAAATTGCATTTGCCTGTAAGTAGACCAAATCAAATGGATTTTATTTTGAAGGCTGTGTTGGATCGTAGTTTTTGATGATCAGAAAGTTTTTTTTTCAATTCANTGTGTGTGTGTGTGTGTGTGTGTGTGTGTGTGTGTGTGTGATCTTATATCTGACCCTTTTTTCAAGAATAAGTTCATATAACAAAAAAATCTGTTATTAACAAAACAAAAGACAAGAACATCTTATCTGTCTAGAACAACAATCAATATAGTTACACATTATACTGTTTTGTTTTTCTTAAACAATCCAACTTTTATCATTTTCTTAAATGTACACAATGATCCTGCAGTTTTTACATCACTCCCCAAAWTATTCCATAGTTTTATTCCTTGAATTAAAGTACACCGTTCCTTCAAACTAGTTCTGAATTTGGGTTTTACAAATATCTCTGTCCATTTAAGATTATAACAACTCTTTCTCTTAACAAAATTTACTTGGATGTTTAAAGGTAATGTGTTTTTGTGGGCCTTATACATAACCAGTAGAATATTATAATCAACCAAATCAATGAACTTCAATATTTTCAATTTACAAAATAATGAATTTGACGGGTGACGACAGTGTTTTCCAGTAATAATTCTCACAGCTCTTTTCTGTAATAAAAAATAGAATAGTAGTAGAAATTTGAACACCTCAACAATGTGCTGCTTCTGTAGAGAAATTTAATGTGGGACTAATCCCCTCCAAGCAAAATTAGGTTTTCTCTGATTTGAATATCACACAGAATTAACGTTTCGTATAATTGCAGCTGCTTCTTTAAAACAAACGGTGGCCTTATCAAATATTCTGTGACACATCTAGTAAACTGGATGCTTCAAATCTTAGCATTTTGTAAAAAAAAAAAAAAGTCTGTACTTTTTAAGAACTGCAGCCCTGTATCCATTTATTTCCCTAGCAACAAAACTTTAAGAAATCAGTCGAGCACGAAGTGATTTTTATGCTTCACAAGTGTGTTATGAAGCAGAAATGTTAAAGCAGCCATCTGTGGTTTGATAAGGTTTGTCCTAAACATTATGCAGTTGAGTCATGTTTAAATCCATATGTTTAACTGAGTAGTGCCCTAACTGTCTTTTATTTGACCTCTTATATATAGAAACTRTGAGTAAAGAGTAGATGGATGTATTTTTTTAAAAAAGCCTACACTTTAAAGTACAGCTGGAGAAGGAAAGGTAATTGCCTCTAACGTGGGGAGGAAAAGTGTTCCTGTTTAACTGGAAATGGAGGACAAAATGGAAAGATGGATCAATATTTACTTTGGCTCAGAATGAGTCATAACTCTGGCCGGATTTTTATCTTTCAGGGCACACAAATTCTCATCCTGCCCGTACATTAAACCTTTAGCAGAGGGGGAGAAAAGGCCTATTGATTAGTAAATAAATCTGACCATCCTCTCTAACTATTTCGATCTTCAGAACAAAACCATCAGATTTTTTTCATTTAGAAGTGATTAGGAATTTAAAAAGAGAACTGGATCTCTTTTAAAAAATAAGCTGGATCTGTTTATTGTTTAAAAAAATCTTTGTTTCTTAAAATGAACTAAATTTTCCATCTATATATAGAAGTTCCAATTTTGTGTTAATTTTTCTTTCTAGTGGCTTATTTTTTTTCACATCAAGTTTTCAGTATTCTCARTATTCAATCTGTGCCAGGCTTACACAGGAGAGGTCCTGATGGGGGGGGAAAAGGCAACCATAAAGTGCTCTAAAACATCTGTGTTTAATGCCTTCCCCTTTAGTTGGAGCGTATGTTGGAAGGGAGCGCGGTGCGTGCCCAGAAGCAGCTGGTCCTGTTGCACAGAGAGGATGGTCCGCCGCCCCAAGGGACCGTGCACTGGCTCAACATGCGAAGCTGGATYTCCAGACACCTCCACCTCTCCTGTCCCCGGAGGGTTTTCTCTAAAAGGAGCCTTCCCAAGCTGGTTGGTATAAATATAAACATTGCCAAGAAATGTTTCATCTGTAGATCAAAGCAGCTTACATAGCCCCATTTGATTTAACCAGTTTTAGACCGAGCTTTAGATGGGATCTTTWGCTTTTTATTTCAGTCGACATTCACTTTTAGGAAGTCACCGTTTCTTTTRATCACAGTTGGTTTGCTTGTTTTTGCAGTTGGAACTGTACCAAAGAGTGTTTGAGAAGCCAGCAGACCGCCACTCTGACTTTTCCCGTCTGGCTCGCATTCTCACAGGCAATGCCATTGCTCTTGTTCTCGGAGGAGGAGGGGCTAGGTAACGTTTAACTCGTTTTATTTAACCCATTTTGACATTTTACTCCACTAAATATGTCTTTCTCTTTTGTGTATTTTTTCCTGTCACCTTCTTAAATCAGGGGTTGCTCCCAGGTAGGAATCATGCGAGCCCTCTGTGAGGCCGGGATTCCGGTGGACCTAATTGGTGGTACTTCAGTGGGTGCCCTGATGGGGGCACTATACGCTGAGGACCGCAGCCACAGCCGCATGAGGATTAGGGCCAGGGAGTGGGCAATGGTGAGAGTCAAACCACTAATTTAGCTTTAGWTGCATGTGATGCAGATTAATACTGAGCTAAGTTTCATCATCTATAATATTCATCACAAATTCTATTCCMAGTGTCTTTAAAAGAATTCATGCACTTGTTTGTGGGAAAGTAGAATCAAAGCGACGTTTAGTGCCTTTTGAACTGGAGACACTGCTCCATGTAGGAACACTGTCTAATTAAAATAACTTAACTTTTTAAAATAACTAAATTAAATGATGAATACACCAGTAGAGAATTGCTGCGGTTTGTATGATCTGAACGAGTCAGATTTTATTTGATACTCTTTTATATCAAATGTCGCTTTGAAGGACTGATCATGCTTTTAAAGCCTTCTTTTTCCCATTTAAATCATTCAATTGGGTTCTAGATAAAGTGGAACTGCAATGCTTTGCACTCAATTCCTCCTTATTGTCCACAAGCCCCTCTTTCTCCCCTTTTCTGAGGCGTGTTTCAGATCAACTCGTTTTGAGGCTGTCTCTTCACACCCCGCCACCTCCAGCTTCCAGAGCGTTCCATTCTAGTTTACTAATAGAGAAAATTGAACAGGTTGAAAAAAAATATGACCCAAACAGAATATAAAGATATCACTGCAGCACAGAGAGAAATAAAATTCAACTTTCTCCACTCCTACAGACTCCATGTACACAACAAAATGAATTTAACTGATAAAAAAAGTGCCTTTAATTCTACTTTGTGCTTCAAAAAACTCATAATGAAACATGAACGTTTGTCCTCATTTTACTCTTTCTACAGGAAATGACTTCCAGGTTCAGGAAAGCCCTGGATTTCACGTACCCATATGCCTCCATGTTTACCGGTGCTGCTTTCAACTCCGGCATCAGTAATGTGTTCAAGAGCAAACAGATTGAGGTGAGTTAAACGAGCGCTGCTGTAAAGAATAAAAACTGGGAATAGAACTAAGCTGTTGCAGACCGCTCACTGCTAAGATCTGTTTTGATGCAATGTTTTTTTTAAATTGCAGGACCTTTGGATCACGTACTTCAACATCACCACTGACATCACTGCGTCAGCCATGAGAGTACACACTGATGGTAACTACTGGTTTGCTCAGCAGGCATGGAACCTATGTTTGGTTATTTTTAATTAGAAATCACAGGGTTGCAGTTTAAGAGATTTCCTGTTTGCTGTTTGAGGGTCTTTGTGGCGGTATGTCCGTGCCAGCATGTCTCTGTCGGGCTATCTGCCTCCTCTCTGTGATCCCAAAGATGGACACCAGCTGATGGACGGAGGCTACATCAACAACCTACCTGGTATTATTTTAACTGAAATACTTTAAAAAGGATATACACAGTCTTTTGTCTCCTCTCTGAACGTTGTTAGGTTAATGAGTGCATTTCTTTAAAACTTTGTGTTCATTTTGCTCCCTCCCAGCTGATGTGGCGCGTTCCATGGGGGCCAAAGTGGTGATTGCTATTGACGTGGGCAGCCGGGATGAAACCAACCTCACTAATTACGGCGACTCCCTCTCAGGCTGGTGGGTGCTATGGAAACGCTTCAACCCCCTGGCTGAGAAAGTGAAGGTGATGAATCGATTAGCAAATGACACGCAACAAACTGCACATGGCTGTTTATKTAAAAAAGAAAAAGAAAAAATCAAATCTGAATAATAATGAAAGCATTTTTAGAGCTTGATGCACACGGTGGTTTCAACAGGTGTTGAACATAGCGGAGATTCAGTCTCGGCTGGCTTACGTGTGCTGTGTGAGGCACCTGGAGTCTGTGAAGAACAGCGACTACGTCGAGTACATCAGGCCTCCCATTGACAGATACCGCACTCTGGAGTTTGACAAGTTTGATGAGATAGCCGTAAGTTTGAAAAAACATTTTTTTTCTTCACTCATCTTCTAGTTTATTCATAAACGCTTTGTGGGAGTTGATTTTAATAACAAATAYATGTAAAGTTGAGTGGCCTGTAGACATTTTTGTTTGCTAAGGTTTATTATATACACRCACACAGACTCAAGTAATTTATCACCTGCCTTTTATGTTGGTGGGTGATTAAAAATATACACACTCTCCACATGTATGGTGGCTTTATATGCTTCTCTGCCAATGACATTTAGAATAACGTGGATTCGTTTTGTGTTGCAGGAAGTGGGATATCAGCAYGGCAAGACTGTGTTTGATGTGTGGAGTCGCAGTGGTGTAGTGGAAAAAATGCTAAAAGACAGACACCAAGAGGATTTCCACAACATCCAAAGGAAGAGCAATGTAAGCACGGGGTTAATYAATATTTGTTGATGATATAAATTGGCTAAATGAGTGATCAAGTCTTAGAGTTTGTATTATTTTAGGACATGAGCGTTGTTTGTAATCTAACAGTTTCCTTTTGAAGAAAAAAAAATCTATTGACACTAAAATTTATCTCTCAGCAATATTAAGAAAAGGCCAAACTTCTAATAAACAACACAGAGGAATGAGGAAGAAAAATGACATATTTACTCTTAAACTGAACAGTAATTTGTGGAGGATGATGGAACTGAAAACAGAATTAATGTAAAGAATCTCATCCAAAGCAAAAAAAAGCAACAAATGCACTTTGAAAAAATAAGCGAAGACAAGGACAAAGCCTTTGTTGTAGTTGCAGATTTGAACAGCGATGCTGTCTCCAGCCTAACTCCCATTTTCATTCTTTAAAACAATATCCATCCCACACAGACGATTAATGGTGCCTATTTTCAGAAGCTTCTGTAGGATGCAACTCTCCAGAGAAATAATGCATGTCTTCACCTAAAAAAAACCTGACACTGCTGGTCAAAACTTAGACAATTCAAGAGCTTGCATTATTTGAAGGAGAGCACATCAACCTGCTGCATTCATCATGTTTTATTAGGAGTGGCTTCTTTGTATGGCAGATAAATATATTTAATGGACCGGTCAGGGGTTATAATAAACACTGTCAGATTTCACCTTTCAGTCCAGAGGATACGTCATCCTTAAAGACGGTTGTTTGATAAACTTGTTGGACCAGTAAAGACAGAAAAGTGAGTGTCTTGATTCCTGTGTCTGTGCTGAAAATAAAAGGATATTATCTTCATTTCAATTCCCTTTAGGGAAGTATTTATTACTGAATAAAGAGAGGAACATATCTAAATTAGCTCTGCCAGTTTTTTTTTAGCTGCCTCCTGTTTAAGTTTTCAACACTGAGCATAAAAAAGATATATTGTTTTGGGAAGGGAAAAAAAAACAAGTTTGACATCTGACAGCTGACATAACAGCAACACAGTTGGGTAGTAAGTGTATGAGGAGCCCTAAGGCTGCATCATGTGACAACCTGCAAGCTTGATAAATGACACAAATAACAAAATGCTTTTAAAAAACAAATTCTCAATTTGCCCCTTGGGTTTGGTTCTAAATTTAAACAAATTCCTATAGATCCCCATCTTAAAACAATCAGCATTWTGTAGAGCTAAATACTTTCTGGTCTTTTTTGAGCGTCCTTATAATTGCTTTGGTTTCTCAGTCAAATCCTAAACAAAGAGGCCAAAAAGTCACACATGCACAAAAAGGGCTTGCAGCTAAACGACTGCTTTGAGCTTCAGAGTTGGTCAACAAATCAATCACCGAGTCTTATTTACTTTTCATGAGCTCAGGTTGTGTCTCTTTCAGGTGTTGACATGTCCCAATGCTTCCTTCACTGACCTTGCAGAAATTGTGTCCCGCATCGAGCCCGTCAAACCTGCACTGATGGATGGTAAAACTACCGGCACATATTTCAACACTGCCACTTTCAGACACTTTTATTAAGATGCTTCTTGAAATGTGTTGACATAATGTCCAGTAGATGGATTTTTAACATGTTTTTCTCCAAGCTTTTCACACTTGCACAGAATAGCTGATTTTTCTTTTTATTTATTTATTAGGTAATTAAGAGGATTTACCAAACCAACAAAATAAACTACTACATCTTAGCTGCATGTGAATGTTGTGTGGAGAGAAATAAACTCACAATGTAAGCATGCACGCACAACTGCACCTATCTGCTCACCTGTAAATTTGACTTTTGAGACTTTTACAGGAGTAATGCTGCATTCAAGGCTGGTGAAGAGCTGGGAAATCTGAACTTTACCACTTTACTGAGTTCCTGGGAAACATCGCGTATAAACTTTACAGTTTATTAAAACACACATTTACATTGACATTACAGGGYTCTAAAAATGTTACATCTTGTGGACTGTACAGCTGAAATAAACAGCCTAAAATGAATAGATTGAAAATGTATCGGTACAAATAAATATATATTAACTGAAAAATACATTTTCCTGTTTGTTTCTCTACAAAAAAAAAGAAGAACCTATCCATTTAGAGAAATGTATTTTAGCTGTACAGTCTACAAAATTGTTGTGCGCGTACACTCGCATTGTGAGACTTATTTCTCTCCATAACATTGTATTGACAGAATGACATAAAGTTGAACATTTCTGGTTAAATGCTTTTCTATTGTTAAACACCAMCGCAGAAGCCGTCACGTTTCTTTAAGCTTCATTTTCTTCTATTTGCACTTTTAYCTCTTCTGACTTAWTCACCTGCTCACTCAGTTGCGTTTCTCACTTTCCACACGTCACATATTCCATCTTACGGTGTGCTTCTGTGCATCCTTTCCTCCACTGTTTCCCCTTCGTCAGAGGAGTCAGACGACCACACTGACTATGAAGAGGAGGCATTGGAGAGTGCCCTGTCTGACATGGACATGTACAGTCACTGTGAAGAGCACACTGAAGGGGAGGAAACACCTGACACGGTGTGAACTTCTGCACACTCCAGGGTTTGGGCTCTCTTCTAATCATTTTAGACTTCAGCAAAACATTCTTCTTGGGTTTAAAAATAAATAAATAAATAAATAAACAAATAAATAAATAAATAAATAAAATCGAGAAAACTTGAGCTGAAGGCATTTTTTTATAAAGCTTGCAAATCCCAGTCTTGTGATGTCATGTGAAAATTAAGGGAATGTTTTTAAAATATATATTTTATTTTATTTTATTTTATTTTATTTTGCTTGCAGGGACCGTACAACAAAACATTATCACCCATAGGCAACAGCTGCAGCATACACAAGGCTTCTAGCTAAAAGCTCATTTACAGCCCTCATCCCTGGTTAGGCATTTTGATTAAAAAAAAAGTTAATGACATGAATAAATRAGTACAGTGCAGTTACAATTTACACACAAAAAAACCCCAAAACAAAACATAAAAATACACGTCCAGATGAAATTTCAGTGTTCACTGTGTCTTTCAGCCAGTGCTTCAGTTTTGTTGTAAACATTTTCTTTGTTTGCTTTATGGAGCTTTCTGAAGTCCACATGAAATCCATTTGGGTGTTTATAATTTTAGCAAAATACATTGTTTTTCAGACGTTCATATGAGTTTGTTTTAAGATTTTAAATTGTTAAGAAAAACTATTTTAAACTGTTGATGCATCGTTGACAAAACGTAGAATTTCAGGTGTGTGGATGGAGAACAGTGAGTTGTTTGGGTTAGCTCCATAAAGTTGACAAATCAGTCTAATTAGACTTTTTCAGTCTTGATTTTTAAAAAGAAACGTGTAAATAACCCTAKATGACTCAGTTAACTGTTCCATAGGGATGAAAATTTTCCCAGAATCTACACAACTTTTGCTGATTGTTTTGCAGTTTGATCAATGTTAGCTTAAAGAATGATCATTTCTTCTGTAAAAAATGTTATAAATGTGTGAGAAATCCCCACAAAGTCYGTTTTACTGATGCTAAGAGCCTCTGTTTTGATAAAGATATATAAAACCCCACAACAATTTCAACACTCATTTTTTTCTTTCCTCTTCCCTTTCATTTCCAGGATGAGGAGCTAGAGGGAAGAGACACGCCTCTTGTCACTTTACTGAACAACGACCACCCTCCGCCGGCCCCTCACAGTCCATCAGAGGAGCCGACAGACCAACAAGTCTGTTCCAAACAGTCCATTAAGTGAGGCGCACTCCGATGAACTCTACCTGAACAGGTCGACACACTTAACCCTGCTTTCCCTCCTCTCTGTCCCCGATGCTTCCACCTGTTTATCCAGTCCTGGGTGCAGCCTCTCTGACCAGGCCTTGTTAGCTGCGTGACTGACATGACAAAGGATCAGTTCCTTCAACGCAGCAGAAACACAATACACCCAGCTGCAAGCTCTTATTTCTCATATTGAGAGTGTTGAGAGGACTTCCTAATGATTCATACAAAACACTTGTCTGGTGGAAGACGCGGGAAATCTGTTGTTAAACCAAAGATTTAGGGAAATATTAACACACACTTTTCTGAAGCAACTGCAGTGCACAGAATCCCAAAATTTATTTTGAAATTAAAGTGAGCACTGGAAAACAGACTTAAATAGTGTCAGTTTTTCCACCTATTTAGTTTTTAATGTAAATCTTGACAAGCTGCTAAGCTAAAACAGGTAAAGCACCTCTGTGTTCATGTTCTTACACACATGCAGTGATCATCAGATTTATTTGTCAAACACTAATAACAAAAAAATAAGAGCACACAGAACAAGCAACACACTTTTTGTTCCTGACTTTCAATACAGATTTGTCCCACGCTGTCCCTTTGTCCCTGTGCCAGGGACATGCAGGGACTTAATGATTTCTGTCCATTTCTGAGCACTAGATTGTCTCTCGATGAAGCGAGAGAGCTTCCACCTTTTTGTTTTTCTGGCTTGAATCTATCGGACATGAAGTGAGCAGCAACAAAAGGTCAGAAACATGTTTTGTCACAAATTATTTGGGTTATTATGTTGTTTCTTATTTATTGATTTTGGATTATTTTGTGTGAACTAACTATTACAATATTATGTTTGTTGTTTTTTTGTTTATTTATTAACTTGGGTTATTGATGGAAAAAAGCTTTAGATGAATGAATGCACAAGCATTTACATTATCTTTATTTTCTCTTTGTCGCAGTGTTTAATGCGTTGGTTCGCACAATACAACCATTCCTCATTCATTGCACTAAATTGCAATGATTTTCCAGACTTGACTCAAAACTTTGAGTGTTTTTTTTCTTATTTGCCTCTTCACATAGCACCTCGTTGTGTTGACTGTTTGTGCCATCTTTAATCCCGGTGCTTCAGTTTCCGCAGCCTTACGTGTGCAGACAGACAGAGACAAGCTGTGATAAACACACCAGTATGGTGTTGGTGAAAAAGAGTCTGGACAGAAAATGTGTGAGCACACCGGAGATAAAGAAATATTGTTGCTGTTTCACCAACGAGGTGATGGTGTTTGCATATTTTCTTCTTCTTTAAAGCCGGGGACAATGAATCAACGTCCTCTGGCAGGATGAATGTTTCACTACTTTATTAAATGGGTCATGGTTATTAATCAAGTGCTGATGGAAAGTATGGAGCTGTGCCATGTAGTTAATGCAACCAAGCCTTAGATGACCTGTGTGGAAACACTGTTCATGCACTTGTTTGTTAGCATATTGTAAAAAATGTTCACTAATAAGCCTATAAAATTATATTAAATACACATTTTTGATCAGCTGTTACCTATAAACCACTGTTGATTGTCTGACTTTGTCTCCGTCTCTTCTGTCTTGTGATTATTTAAAGCTGAAGTACGATTATTCAGAAATTTAGAAAACGTGCTTTCTGAGCCCAAACCTAATTGCCTCATTAACAGTCCAAAACTGACAGCATTCAGTCAGTGAGGCAGATTTAATGTTCTCTAAATCTAGAAGAAAAAAGCTGCTTACAGTGGAGAAAATAATTACTTGATCCTTCTTGATGACTTATTTTAAGTTTGCCCACTCACAAAGAAATGAACAGTGACTAATTTTTTATGGTAATTTTGTTTTGATTGAAAGAATATTCCCTCATCAACAACATGTCCAGAGTGTTGCTTTGACTCATTCCTGCATGTTTGAGAAATCCTTGAATCTCCTGTGGCCATGTGGCGCTGCCTAAAGTCTTGCTAACAAAGCTCCGCCTACTTTTACAAAGCTCCTCCCTGGAGCTCGGTCTGCAGCAGAGCTCCTGCCCCACAGAGCACCCCGCCCCCGAAGCATTGTCGTGAAGACGTGCTGAAGTGGGAGTGTCCGAAACGGTAGGGGGTTCTTAAAGAGACAGAGGTGTTTAGATAGACTATAGCTGTGTTTCCAGCAACATTTTTTATGCTCATTTTAAAGTGTCGCATTAGAAAAGGTGGACGGAAACAGCAAAATTTGCAAAAACTTCCTCAATTTTGCGAAATAGTTTTTACTTTTGTAAAATTCTATTTTGGATTTTCTGAAAAAGCAAAAGGAGATGGAAACATATGAGTAAGTTCTGACATAGCGAACATTTACCTTGATCAGCTGATCCCGCTGTCCAATACTTCTATTGGCTGCAGCTGGACCCTCCTCCCACTGTCGGCGTCTTCCTGAGTATAGTGAAGAGAATTGCATTATTGTTTTTCTACGTCTACAGACAGCATGAAGCATTATCAATACTAGTTGATATGACAGAACAATTACAACTTTCCTGATGGCAACACATTCCTGATAACTTCTCTCCATTGTCCCGAGATGTGTATCCCTGTGAGTTTGCAACTTTACTTCCTGTTTATTACAGCCATGCGTAATGTCAACATCTGACGTAATTACACTTTGTGGTTGATTCACTCTTAAGCCAGTAACAATAGATGGGGAAACACGATTCACATTTCTTCTTTTTTTTTTTCCTTTATGCAACATTTTAAAAAGTTCGCTCAAAATTCGCATTACAATTGGATGGAAACATGGCTCATAATGCAAAGACAGAATTACTTTTGATATATACAGCATTTTAGTTACTTGATTGTGGAACTTTTGCCTGAAAAACGTATAATACCTCTTTATTCATTTCATTTAAAACCAAAAATTTTATACACATTAAAAACAGAAGATATACACAACATATATACACAACAAAAAAATATACAAATCAAATTGAAATGAAAGGAGGCAGAAGAAAAAAATCTTATAATTTCTGCCCCTTTTTATAATTAATAGAAAGCAAAAATAATTAGGAAAAAAAAAAGAAAAAAAACAAAATAAAAACTTCAATTCATTCTCAAACAACAACTTGGACATTATAGAGTTTCATATTTCTTTAACAAACTTATTTTTGTCTTTCTCTTAAACACTATAATACGATCATACCTCTTTACCCCCATCAGCAAAAAATATAAGGACATTTGTGTTTAGATTATTTCTTTGTTGTAACAATGTCTTTTGGCAAAAAATCTTGGAAAACCTGTTAATTTAACTTTTTAACTTTCTGTGCCAAGTTTATATATATTTACAGCCTGTGGGAATGATGGTTTTTTTTTTGTCATTCCTCTTTTAAACATGGTGAGTTGAGTTGATTGCATTTCTCTGAGCTAACCACACTTTCTTTCAATGTTTTCACAACACATAGATCAGGAGAATCTAATTAATATATCGATTGATGATTGTAAGCTGTGGATGTGTAACAAATCTGTGGCTGCTGGGCTGAAGTGGATCAAATATTTATTTTATTCTACAACACACAAACCCATTTGTAACTTTTTCTGTAATGTGTTTTCTCTGGATTTATCTGTTTATATTCCGTCTCTCTCCATTTAAAAGAAACGAGTGGGAAAGCCTGCCTATTTATTTATTTATTTATTTATTTATTTATTTTTTGGGAAGTGAATAAACTCACAAAATCAGCAGGTGATTGAGTAATTTCCCCCACTGAATGGAAACTTCTAAGTTACTTTGTAAAATTTATCCTCATGCAGAATCTGCTGTGACAAGCTGCAGTTTGCTGTGTGCCACTCGGCCTTTTACAGTATCAGCACTTCACTAAACGTGTTTAAATAATAGCAAAAGGTTAGGGGACACAAAAAGTCACTTTTCAAAGTCTAATCTTTGCCCCTGTCACCTACAGCCTAAAGGATGAGTAAATATCCTGGACTGCAGCTGGTGAAGTCGGATGTTTCAGTCTCAATATATGAGCCACCGTCACACATGGAGCTGTTTACAGCACATTTACAAAGAATGATTTTAGATTCACCCCGCCGTATCGACGTGTCCTATAACGAGCTTTCTCATTCCCCTACTGTCCCTTGAGAAAACAGACTGGACACAGCTAATTAATGAGCAGAAAAGGGGGAATTTAGGTCACAATAAGTCTGAAAGAGGAGGGCGGCGCGAGTGGCGCTCGTCTCAATCGATACATCACAGGGAGGAAAGTGCACGGCAGAAAATGGGCTGAATGAGTGTAGGGTTTCTGGAAATTAAAGTCCTGACAGAGAAGTCAAGATTGGTGAGCAAGAGGAGCTGCCAGGCTGGTAGATGATGACCCCATCTGGACTGAATAGCTGTGGCAGCTAAAACGATTTTTGCAGAAGTATTTATGGAAAAAGTGGGAACGAGGTGACAGGAGGAGGTTTCTGACCTTCAACGGACAAACATTGTGATTAAAAGAGGGTCAGATGTCTGCTTATCTTCTTCCACCTCTCCTCCCATGTTCTCCTRCTCTTTTCTGGACGTCCTTTTGGTTTTATCGCCTCTCGTTTCCATTTCCCCCGCTTGGTAGCAGGCTGTAAAAAAAGAGGACAAAACGCGAATTAAACGGGTTTGTGGGTCACAGTTCTGGTTGCTCTAGTAAAACTGTTCTGACGTAAGAGTACAGAAAGTGCCAACACACAGCACAGGTCCTATAATCACATTTCATAGCTGCAACTTTTCCTGAGAACAAATCTGTTTAGTATTGATGCCTCACATTCAAGCTGAATGTAAATCAATCCATTTAAAGGAGACATATGGTGCTTTTAAATCCCTCTTTTGTGCATTTAAGTCCTTCAGTTGGGGTCTATAGAAAGTGGAACTGCAATGCTTTGTTCTAAATTCCTCCTTATTGCAACTCCACAAGCCCCTCTTTTACCCCTTTTCGGAGGTGTGTCTCATATCAACTCGTTTTGAGGCTGTCTCTTTAAATCCAAACTAGAGGCTTCACACCCCGCCTCCCTCCAGCTTCCAGACCGGTCCATTCTAGTTTGATAGAGGAGTTTACGACTATATGGCGGTGCACAGACGTTTTTTTTTTTTTTTTTTTTTTACAAAATGAATTAAAAGTTGTCAACAAGAGAAGACTTGTCCATCCAACCTTACATGTTGGAGCCAGAGTCTGACCCAGAGCCAGAGGAGAGTGAAGATGATGAAATTGTAGTTGGTCCAGACCTTATTTAGAAGTTAAGTTGCAAATTCTGTGATGTAATAGTTTAGAAAACATAATAGAAAATAGAGAAAATTAAACAGGTTGAAAAATGTGACCTAAACAGAATATAAAGATATCTTTCCAGCACCAGAAGAGATTAAATTAGACTTTTTTGCCTCATATAGAGACTCCAAGTACACAACATAATGTATTTAATGGCTAAAAATTGGATTGTGCACAATGCGTCCCCTTTTTAAGGTGACTTTAAAAAAAAAGCACTAGTATCAAGAGGTTAATGCTCTCGGCCACTCAATTTGAGCAAAATAAAACCCTTCAAAGGACTCCTTATGTTCTCAATGACTAAAATTATATTTAAAAACACCTATTTGTTAGCTGGACTTCTTTTGTCTGGACTTTTCTTTTGGACTCTTTATACTCATCAAATTCATAAAAGCAAAAAAAAGGTTTCTATTGGGGAAGTGATTCATGTATTTTTGAACATGTGCTCATGCATGAAGTGATTGCTTCAGCGGATCAGCTGTGAATTTATGCGGTTTTGGAGATAAATCAGAATCCATCAGTTTTTGCATCTTTGCACTGATAGTTTGTTCATTTTAACTATTAGATGAGTGATTTTATTTGCATTTTTTGTCATTTTTTAATAGTTTAGTATCTCTGCTTTGTGATGTATTGAACCTTTTAATACTTTTAACAGAAAAATCAATTACTTTTAACAGAAAATTTACTTCTCTAAGGACAAACTATTCCAAGACACGTTCTGTGTCACGATGATAGCAGTAATGGTGTCAGACTTGTATATAAAAAAGTTGGCTTTACCATTGTTCATCATCAGGCCTGAAAACAATCGAAAAATTATTTGTACCACTGAGAAATAGGGGTGCACCAAAAAATCGTTTCACACCAGAATCGTGATTCTCATTTACACCAAATCAGAATCGCTATAGAATGTCCCAAAGATGATTTTTAAAAATACAAAAGTAAAGCAAATCCATTGGCTGGCAGCCTGCATTTTTTTAACTACATGGTGATGGCACCATGCAGCCGGTTCTGGAACACACACATTAAGAAAGCAACAAAGCAAAGAGGAAAGTACAAAAATGGAGGAAAGAGAGCTTTAGCTGGCCTGGTCTTAGTTAAAGACAAAGATATGTAGAAAATGAACAGCAGAAGCTGCTTTATTTGTCTGTTGACCGTTTTTTATTTTATTTTATTTTTTTTTTTGTGTTGTAGCTCAATCCAAAATCAATGCCATAAACATGGAGCGACATCTAAGATTCTCTCTATTGGAAAGTAACACAAACCAGTTGTGTTAATCAAAAGGAAAAAAATTGTATAGGTCTTCTGGAC